AAAAAAATTATTCTTATATTATTGTCTTTAATCTTTACCGCTACAAAATAATTGCTTAATTGTTGTTGTCATGGAAATAATTACCATAAAATCTGTTAACAAAATCTACGGCTAAAAGAGAATTTCTCAATTTTCTCTTTGAATTATTCAACAAGTTTGGGAGCTAGTAGCACGAATTTTGTTGGAAAAAAAAAATGCACCAATTTCCGCAGGCAAGGATTCCTACAAGTCGGGTCACATCAAAATTTCTTCGAAAATCAAAGTCAGCTAAAGCCAGTGGGGTTTCTTCTCTTCAATAAGTCGACTGCTTCTGCACGTTCTCCTCCCATCAGTTTCGATTCAACGCGTTGATGGCGTTTGCTTTATTGCCTCTGAGAATTACTGAACTTGAATTGGGTAACTAATTGCCATCTGTTGTAAACAGTTTCTGTGTCCTACTCAAGCTTTAGGATGTTAAGAACAAAATTGATTTTAGTTTTCAGCCTTATGGCCCTTGCTTTGTCTCTCTGTCCTGATGCCTGTATGGCTAGATCCAAATACAAGCCTTGCCCCCCTTTTTGTTCTTGCAGCAACCTTAGTATTATATAACCTTTCCGATTGAATACCGATCCTGTTGAGTGTGATTTGCCAGGGTATGAACTAGTATGCGAGAATAATCGCACAACTTTGGTCACAAAACAGGGCAAATATTCTTTGTTAACAACGTTCAACGAGACCAAAGGGTGAAGTCATGTGTTGAAGACAACTCAAATGTGACCCAAAAATCATGAAAATAATACTAAACTTTCATTTCATCAACCCTAATTAGTACAATAGTTTGAGATTAACTGGGATTATTAATTACAAATTGCTACAAATCAGTGTTTTATAGAACTTTTCATTCAGTTTCTGTTTGGTTTAGTTGATAAAAATGAGTTATATTTGTTAATTGAAAGTTTAAATTGATATCTAATAATTGGTATGTAATTTGAAATTAACTTATAGAGGTGTTTTTTTAAATAATTTAAGAAAAAAGTGAAAATTAGAATTTTTTTTTGGTACTTTAAATGTTAAGATTTCTTGTGAAATTATTTAAATATTTTTAATATATTTTTTTTAAATGTTAATTCATTAAGAGAATAGTGCTTATCTGCCTTACCTCTTAAAAATTAAGAAAAATATTATTCTAAAACTATGTCATTTTAATAAACACTTATTGAAAAAAATTAAAATATCTTATCTTTAAAGCATGCATAAGGGTGTTTTTTTATTTTTTTTCCTCTTAATTTTTTTGAAGTAAAGCGGAAAAACACTAACCCCATTCATTAATGATATTTTAGTTTTTTTTATTATCATTCGTAGTATTTAAAATATCAAATATCTTGATTTTTTATAATCCATTACTTTATTAGTTGTTTAAGGCAAAAACATCTATAAAGTGTCATTATCAAACCAAACCAAACAAATCTTTATTACTACAAAATAATTGCTTAATGGTTATTGTCGTGGAAATAATTACCATAAAATCTATTAAAAAAATCTAGGGCTAAAAAGAGTTCCTCAATTTTCTCCTTGAATTATTCAAAAAAGCTTGGGAGCTAATTATTAGAAATATATTCGCGACGCAGTAGATATAAATTTACTAACTTCCAGTTATTATCGTTCAAGAATTAATGCAGTCCAAGCAGATCACCCAAAATCCTTAATAAACATTTTTTTTAATTTAAATTGTGTCTTAAAATAATAATTATTTTTTTATATTCTAAGAAATATAAATATTTTTTTTACAATTTTAGTCTTATTATTTTTTCTTGACTTTAATTATCTATTCTATCTTTAAAAAATCTCTTTCTTTTGATTTCAAGTGTAAAATATGTAAAAATAAAAATTATACCCAAATCCTTAATCTAAAGAAGAAATCAACACACCCAATTGTTAAAGGTTTTTTTCTCTCGCCGCCGCTAGGGTTTCCCTCAACGGCGTGCGAGCCTCTCACCTAGGTGCTTCTCCCTGGTTTTTTCAGGGCCCCTCTTCCTCTATTTCTTATCCTTTGTATCGATCTCCATATCCCCTTCTTGGATCTTGG